TTTTCTAGAATCCTGTTAGGTTTAGCTACTGGGGGTTCTGGATAAGATGTGTTTGTAGGTATTGAGAGCTGACACCTAGGAATGAGGATGTTGAAGGAGTCCACAGGAGGAAGGAAAGCAGAGGATCCACAGGACCTGCTTAGTCATAGATCTTGAAGGTAGACGTGTGCCCCCATCCCTAACCTTGAAATTATCTCCAATTAATAACCACTTGCAAATGGAAATTTATTTTTCTCCAAGGGAGTCCCACTGGGGGAAAACACTATTCTAAAGGCTAGACTGCTTGCCCAGCAGTAGATGGTCAACAAAAAGACGAACTCAATGGTTCTTTATCTCATAATGTCATGTCAGGACTCTTTAAAAAGTGTAACTTTTTATTTTTTATTTTTATTTTGGAACATGTATGTGCCAAAATATCACAAAGTAGCTTATGGTTGTTAATAAATGAGCATATTGAAGATGGTAAACACCCCCACAATCATAGAGAAAATTATACAATTAGACTCTGAAAATAGGTTCACAATAATCCTGTGTGACATGTGAAAATTTATTCAACACATATTGTTTGGTATACACAAGAATTAAAACATAAAATGACAATATGTTTTGCAATGTTGGGATATCTGGGAACTTCATCTAAGGCACTAAAAGAATGCCAGGGACATATTAAAGGCATAAAATCATCCCAGTAGCAAACTAGAAATAGTTAGCTTAACAAGTTTTCAGAGCATACTGCCAATATTCTTTTTTTTTAAGTTTAAATTTAGATTAAAAGCAAGGTTGCTTCACAAGTCAGTTACAGGTCCCTCTCCATTTCCCTCCCCTCCTCCCATGTCCTCCCCCCAACCCACCCCCCCATTATCCCCTCATTTCCCCAGGGAGGGTGAGGCCCTCCATGGGGGTGTCCATAGTCTGTCATTTCATCCAGTGCAGGGCCTAGACCCTCCCCCCAAGAGTTCAGGGTGAGAGTGCATCTCACATTGTTGCATGGGAGTCCAAAGTCCATATGTGTACTCAGGATGAATAGTGATCTACTACCCAAGGCTCAATAGATTACCTAGGCCTCCTCACTGACACCCACATTCAGGGGGTATTGATCAGTCCCATGCTGGATTTCCAGGCATCCGTCTGTGATTCAAGAGCTAAACCTTGTCAGATCAGCTGTTTCTGAGGGTTAAACCAGCCCTTTGGTCATCAGTCCTCCCTCTCTGTTACTGGCTTTCTTGAGTTCAGCTCAGTGCTTAGCCATGGGAGTCTGCCTCTTCTTCCATCAGCCACTGAATGAAGGTTCTGTTTCCCAGACTCTCTGGCCATGGGATTGTAGGCTGGCACTCCTCAGATCTATGTCTAAAATCCATATATGAGAGAGTACATGCCATGTTTCTCTTTTTGTGACTGGGTTACCTCGCTCAGGATGGTTTCTTCTAGTGTCGTCCATTTGCCTACAAATCTCAGGATTCCATTGTCTTTTCTGCTGAATAGTACTCCAATGTATAAATGTACCACATGTTCTCTATCCACTCTTCGGTTGAGGAGCATCTAGGTTGCTTCCAAGTTCTGGATATTACAAATAATGCTGCTATGAACATAGTGGAACAGACATCCTTGTTGTATGAATGGGCATCTTTTGGATATATGCTTAAGAGTGGAGTTGCTGGGTCTTGTGGTAGGTTTATTCCCATTTTTCTAAGGAATCTCCATACTGATTTCCAAAGTGGCTGAACAAGTTGGCACTCCCACCAGCAATGGAGGAGTGTTTCCCTTTTTACCACATCCTCTCCAGCATAAATTGTCGTTGGTGTTTTTGATTTTAGCCATTCTGACAGGAGTGAGATGGTATCTCAGGGTTGTTTTGATTTGCATTTCCCGGATGACTAAGGATGTTGAGCACTTTCTCAAGTGCCTCTCAGTCATTTTAGACTCCTCTTTAAAGAAAATTCTTTATTGAGTTCTGCAGCCCACTTTTTAATTGGATCTTTTGGTGTTTTGGAGACTTGCTTCTTGAGTTCTTTGTAAATTTTGGAGATCAGCCCTCTGTCAGATGTGGGGTTAGTGAATATTTTTTCCCATTCCGTGGGCTGCCTTTTTGTCTTGCTGACTGTGTCCTTTGCCTTACAGAAGCTTCTCAGTTTCATGAGGTAGCATTTATTAATTGTGGATCTAACATCATTTAAAATGTAAAAGAAGAAAACGTAATTGATGACCAGAGGAAGGGCAATGGGGTGGGGAGTACAATTGCAGGATTTTGTTGTGGGGTAAATAAGATGAAGTTTGTTATATATGTGTGTGGAAATGTCATGATGAACTCCATTGGTTTGTATAAGTAATAAAATTGTTAATAAAAAGAAAAAAGTAAATATGAATTTTAGTAGCAGCAAAGTACATGTATAATAATGCATATTATAAACCACTTTTATTCCAGAAAACAAAAAAATTCAGCAACAATGAGAAAGTTATAAACATTTTAATAACATAAGCATCACATATTACAAAATGTTCCCAGGATGTGGAACAGAAGGCAACTCTTTTACATTAATGAAGTGTAAATTATAGTACAACATACACCACATTGCAAACTTAAATGGATGCATTCCAGAACTCAGGATTTAATTCCTCACTATATAGTTTAGAGTGGGTATCCTACATGTAGACAAAATGTAGAGAAAATGCAAGATAATTGGAAAGATCACAAGTAGTCCTTGTTGGGAAATACTGAAAGTCTAGGAATATGGTTGTAAGGTGAACTACAGCATACAGAAAAATATAACACCTTACAAATGAATCCCTAAGAGGAAAAAAGTGTGCTTGAGAGTTCATCACATGTGCCATGTTTAAGTTAAGGATATATAAACTATAGCACATATTTTAAGTACCTACCATGTAAAAGAAATATAAAGAAATTATATCCTAAGGAGTTGGAGAAGATGGACATTGAATATATGAAACTGTGTTGTATTTGGTTAATGAGGAAAAATTTACTCATGTAATGAATATAAATTTTAAGTATAAATGTCCCATGCAAATTACAAATATTTTAGTGTAATATAAAACATTTAAACCAAGACATCCTAATTTAAAACTTTAATTTTAATGAGTTATCTTTAAATAATTTAATTTAAAAACCTGATTTAAACATTTTCAGTGAAAATTATGCTTGTGTGTTTAATGTATAACTTGCATGAAATTCCTGAAATGCTACTCATTGAAAACCATTTAGAAAATTCAAGCCTTACGAGTGTAGGAGATGTTTTCTATCTGTTCACTGATAAATTTCTATTGTTTAAACTCCTGGCATATACTTGGCATTTGCTGATTATTTTAATGTGGGTACTCTTCCATTCTTTCAATGTTCGTATGATTTAGATTTATTGGAAATTTTATGTGGATAGAAATTGGTTCATCAGAATGTTTCTAAATATTTATTCTGTTTCTTTTGTTCACTGAACATGGTTTTTCCAGCCTGAGTCTGTCTTTTTGATTACTTTAAAATGCTGCCCTTTACTATCAATTATTTTTAGGTAATGTATTGTTTTTCCTTTTAATTTTGCTTTTTCTGACTTAGCTATTTGTGTCTTTATTTATTTAATTATTATTTAGATCTTTTCTGACTCGCCAGGAGGAGTTGGAGAGGGGAAAGTGTCACCAGAATATATTGTATGAGGTTTATTTTATTTTATTTATTATGCAACTCTACTGACACAGTTGACATAATTCATTATTTCACACAATGGGTCTCTTTCTGGGTAATCTCTTCACTCACTTTGCCTCTGCTAATGTATATTTCAGGAATAAGATCTAGTCTTTGCACTTGAAGTATTTGCACTTTGCTGAATGGAAGGTCGTGAGGACTTTAAAACAACACTCCTTATCCAGAAGTGAAGTGTTGTCCTTGGACTACCAGGAAGCAAAGAGCAGGAAATAGGTCTAAAAGACTGATCAAGACCCTTAACTGTGCTTCCACAACTTCCACCTGTAAACCATATGGTTCCTCTGCCACCACCGTATGGTCAGCCACGGCACATATAAAAACAGCACAGGTCAGTTATGGCAGATATCATGACAGCATAGGTTAGCCATGGCAGATATCTTGACAGCATTGGCCACCCATGGCAGATATCATGACAGCGTAGGTCAGTCATGGCAGATATCATGACAGCATAAGTTAGCTATGGCAGATATCATGACAACTCTAAGCCTCTCTGACCTCTTTTTTATCTTGAAAAGTAGACTAGACATGATGTCACAGACAGGAATGGTGTACAATGAGGAACCTGAGGCTCATGAGCTTGCTTATTTGGAACTACCCAATCAGTAGAAGTCATTATAATAATTCACAATCAGAAGGTAGAGAACAGGACAAAGAGTAGCCTTCAGGAATGAGCAGATGAGTGTCCCATTCAATCCCATCCCTCTGGACCATTCTGTGGAAACAGTTTTCCCCGGGGATCCTCAATAAACTGAGTCTAAAACAGGGAGGCGTGTTCACAGAGGGCATTGGGAGCTTGTGTATTGTCCAGATAATGTTAGAATCCTGGTCTTCAAAATAGATGGGAATTGTGGGGAATCTCTGTTGAAGAAGGAGGTATTCTCATGAAAGAGAGAGAAAAATAAATCACACCCTGTCACCACTACATACACTGGGTCCACCATTCATATGAGAGCCAAAAGGGAAAGAGGAGAGAAGTTTACAAGGACCCCATACTTAAGGAGACCTAGGCCATAAAGAATCTGCCAGTCCCCATAAAAGTGTCTTATGCCCTGGGGACTGGAAAAGAACAACAAAGAGAAATATTTTCACCTTTGGAGTGAGTATTATGTGGTTCCTTATCCTCCCTGGTAGAACTTACCTATGTTGAAACACAGTTTTCCCTGACAGATATTTTCCAAAGTAAGGAGAGAACCCCGGCCCTTGTCATTTGTGCTCACAACATGCTTTCAGTACACTGCTGACATAGTTCCCAGGAGAGATCTCTGGGGATGCAAAACAACCAAGAGTCTGCTGAGGATCATGGGGGAAGGCTTTATTCCTCTGAAACACAGAAGGGAGTTAGCACTATAGAAACAAGTTTAGAACCTCCGCAGTTAGACTTCCGTGCTGTAGAGATCGGGACATAGAGGACAGGAGGACAAGGGCAGGACAGCAGGTGGGGCTAGGTCTTCTGAACACGGCTTCCTCCTACACAGCAATTCTAGTGTCTTCATGGACCAAGTTAGCAGCAGTCCCCAGACTGCTGGCTGCTACCACCACTGCTGCCACAGCAGCCGCTGCTGCCCCCGCTGCTGCCACCACAGCAGCCGCTGCTGCCCCCGCTGCTGCCACAGCAGCCACTGCTGCCCCCGCTGCTGCCACCACAGCAGCCACTGCTGCCACCGCTGCTACAGGATCCAGAGCTGTGACGATGGCGACGAAGAGATCTGCGGGGCCTGTGGTGGCTCAGGCAGCAGCCGCCACCCCCAGAGCTGCAGCAACCTCCGGAGCTGGAGCCACAGCAGCCACCAGACCCTAGGCTGCAGCAGCCACCAGACCCCAGGCTGCAGCAGCCACCAGAGCCCAGGCTGCAGCAGCCACCAGACCCCAGGCTGCAGCAGGATGACACAGGGGGGCACTTAGGAGGGCACTTAGGAGGACACTTTGGAGGACACTTTGGTGTCTGGCACTTGGGAGGGCACTTGGGGGCACACTTGGGAGGGGGCTGGCACTGCTGCTGGCTCTGCTGGCAGGACATCTTGGCTGGTAGATGATCAGGAGCTGTGGGAGAATCACACACAAGTCAGACCCAAGTTCCAAGACCACCTTGTCCACTCTTGTCTTTTCAGCTTCATTTCTAGATCCCCTGTGAGTCTTGTGAGCAGACACAGGAAGAGCATGTGTGAAATTTCCATCATCTTTAACATTTACTAAGTGCTTTGTTTCAGTATCTCGTACAAACTCCATTTAGAGTAGGTTAATTAACACAGTTTCCAAATATGCCAAGAAAGTTGATCATTGAAATTTCCTGAGTGTCCAGTGAATGAACTTACATCACCCAGAATTCTAAAAACACTCAAAAGACAGTTTAGAGTTGAAAAACTGTTTCAAAAAAGAGCAAAGGCATTCCCTCTGGAGGAATTTCAGAAGCACTTCATTTTGCATAAATGTAGTAAAATGTGAGTGCTAACGTCCTTGGAGTCAATTTGTAATCACCAATTTGTACATGAACAAACAAAGAGAAGTACAGCTGCTGGTCCTGGGCTGGTTCCCATGCAGCCTCTGGGTGGCTTCCAGACCAGCTGCCTCCCTGCCCAAGGTTCCCCACAGCAGTCTTCCTGCTGAAGAGCCAGGCAGCTCTTCGCTCTTCTGCTAACATCAGGGTCCTCAGCTTATCTTTTCCAAAGCTGAACATGCCTGACTTTCAAAACTGCAATCCAGTGTCCCCTGGGTAATCTAATGGTTTACGATCCACAAAACCAGAGGGATACAACAAACAACAGAAAATAACTTAATTTCTTTGAAAATGTAGCACAGATCTCTAAGCCCTCTCAAATTATGCCTCATTCTCTACTTTGGAATACCAATCCTCAGACACGTCTCTCTCATCACAATTTTCTGTTTCTTGCAGCCTGTACAGCCTCTCTCCTGCTCTGACCCGACCATTCCTCTGGAGAAGCACTCCTGTGCTTTGGACACTTACCGGGCTGACACGCAGCACAGACTCTGTAGACACCTTGAGATGTGGATGGATGGTAGCGTTCTGGCCACCGGCCTTTTATTCTGCTCTTGAGTTCTTCCCCCAGCACATGAGACAGGGCTTGGGCATGGAGGATTGCCTTCCAACGCCCACATGACAGTGTGACAGCTGATGATTGGATGTTCCTCACCTGCCACTCTCCACTGGGCTCACGCCACCTGCTCCCATCTAGGAATGTATTTGCTTGATATGCGAGTGCTTGGAGAGAAGCTATGGATGAGCCATCCCAGGAGGCTTCTTCGCCCTTCATTCCTGTCTCCTCCACCCTGGTAATGTGCTAATACTTAAGGATTCTGGTCCTCCCAATTCCCTCTTCCTGTCCGTTCTAGATAAAAGTAATTTTTCATCTAGACCTTTGATTCTAGAAAATGTAAAAATGTACTTTAGAGGAGTGTGTGTGTGTGTGTGTGTGTGTGTGTGTGTGTGTGTGTGTGTGAGACAATGTTTCTCCAAAGAAGCCATGGGCTCCCTAACAAAAACTCCAATACCACATATGAGAAATGTTTTCTTAAATTGTTGATTAGGAAAGACCAACCCCCAAAACAATATAGGCTGCTATCATTGTTAGTTGGCTCCCATAATTTAAAGGTTTCTAAAGGCATGATGCACTTGGACATGGGGCTTGGAGGAATCAAGCTGGAGCTCACCTGGAAGCCTCTTCTTCCCAGAATAGTGGTTTTAGTAGTCTCAGAAGTTTCTATGTAAGCTGCCAAAGTAGAAGTTGTCCTACCCAGCTGTACAGTGACTAGACTGACAAGATACCCACAGTGGTGAAATAATGGCACTTTTATCTTGTGGGTAACCAATAACTGTATAATTGGAGGTAAGGTTCAGTCAGTAGGAAGGAATTCATGCTCAGGACCATAAACCACCTGCATCTAGAGAAATAATAGGTCCAAGACAGACAGCCTACTACTGCCAAGTTTCTAACATAATATGATTAGTAATTGTTTTCTAAATACTTATCATTATACCCACATATAAGTGTAGCTCTCATTCTTCATTAGAGCAGCTCCTTTGCACCACAGATGGAGACTACGAAAGATACACAGCTGGTGGGACTGCAGAAAATGAGTAACTATGGGATGCCCATGTTCAACTGATACTTTTGCAACACAAATGCTAAACCTAAGACCCAGGGAAAATTATGGAAGAGGGGGCTGAAAGATTTTAAGAGACAGAAAGCCAGTAAGTCCATGAATAGATTGAGTCCCCTAGAAATGACAGGGAAAATGCACACAGGAACTCTCAATAATATGACTGCCTGAATAAGAAGACCACCATGAAGACAACACCAGCTGGCATGCCAGTGGGGACAAGGGGAATTTCACTTGGTCTTGCTCTGAGGTAAAGAGCTTTAGGTGGCCAATGGCTGTTGAGAGAAGTAGAATCAGTTATCTTCAGGGATGACCAACCTCATAGGTCTAATCCCAAGTGGTCAGTCCTGGACAGGTGCACATATAAGCAAAGCTAAATAGATTCACTAGTGTGTGTGTGTGTGTGTGTGTGTGTGTATAATGATAACTTTTTCAAAAGAGATCACAAATTTGGGGGAGGAAGGAGGAGTTGGAGTGGAAATGAAGGGGCAGAGATGATATACATGTGGTGCTCATAAAACCAAGCCCGGCATTGGTGGTGCATCCCTTTGATCCCAGCACTTGGGACTGTTTTCATAAAACAATTCAGTTGAATCTACTATTGTCAGTCTGTTAGATCAGCAAAATTCCATAACTAAATCCTAAATCTTATCCTTGCATCCACAGATTATTGTATAACTCACCCCCTAAATAGCTTCTTTCTGTAGCAAATGGAGACCACTGCTGAAAACCACAACTAGACACAATGCAAAGATCAATGGAGTGCTAGAATCCCAAGCTAGTATATGTTTGCAGTAGAGCTGCTATATGTATATCTTAGCGGACACTGTGGGAGAAGGGTGGAAAGATTGTTAAGAGCCAGACTACCAGGAAATTTGCTATGTGACTGTCTCTTTTAGAAATGGCTACATACATAAACAAGACCTGGACAATAACAATATCAATAAACATGCTAACACAGAAGGAGGAAAATCTCAAGAGATCCCACCCCCAGACTAAAAACTACAGGCAGCTAGCAACTACTGAGTGAAAGAGAATAGGCTTTTCCAGGGCCCCTGATTGGTTATCCAAAACAAAATGGTAGGCCTCAGTCATATGCTTGAGGAGGAATGGAAGAAAATAACCCAATGTATTTTATAGTGTGTGTGTGTGTGTGTGTGTGTGTGTAAATAACTTAAAAAGAAGCAATCAATTTGAGAGTCAGGGTGCACACAGGAGAGGCTGGTGGGAAGGAAGGAAAGGGAAGAAGTCGTGTAATTATATTTTAATTATGTAAAGACAATTTTAAAGAAACAATATTCAAAGCTAGCATCCACATATAAAAAGGACATGTGGCATTTGCCTTCATGGGCCTGGGTTATTTCATTCAGTATAGTGTTTTCCAGTTCAATCTTCTGACTTGTGAATTTCACTATTTTATTTTTTCTTAACAGTTGAATCATATTCAGTTATGTAAATTTACCACATCTTTATCATCTGCCTATCAGTTGATAAACATCTAGGGTTTTTCTGTTTCTTGGAGACTGTGAATAGAGCAGTAATGAACATGGGTGAACAAGTTACCTCTGTAACACACAATTACTGTGGCTATATGCTCAAGACTTATACAGCTGAATCATGCCTTTATTGCTAAATAAGGATAATGAATGTAGTCATATATAATATTCTACTATAAAATAATCTATCATTCCATGATATACCTGAAGCTTTCTTGTGTTAAAACCAAATGCCTTCTACAGATTCCTAATGCTGTAACTACTTATTTGTATTTAATGTATTCCTGTTTACATTTCAGAGTTATTTTATTTTTAATAGCTGGAAGTTTGAATGGAAAGGAAGAAAGACTAAGACTTGACTCTTTTGTACTGGGAATGTCCTAAGGAAAAGACCCAGAGTTTCTTCCATTTAGTCATGTTCAATGGTGGAAGATGGGAAAGAAATTCTGTAACTTTTCTCTGCCCCAGAAGACAGTATCTAACAAGTTGGAGACGTTTGGTCATTATAGCTTGGTCATCTTAGGGATCAGAGATCCTCCTAAACACTGTGCCATGAGCTATGATGACTAATGCTAGTCTTAGCAGATGTGTATGAGTCAGCACAAAACTATTGGCATTGGATGTCCTGGGAACCCAGGAGTAAACAATGATATAGTCTGTTACACAGCTATTCCTGCCACCCCACCCCATTTGTGAAATTCTGTAGAGGCCTTCACACTCACCAACCTGACTGTGAGTACTTGTCTTTAGTCTTGTGTACCAGTGGCCCCTGTGTATGTCTGTATCTACCTGTGTGTGGCCCATGTAGGCCAGCATGTGCTTCTCTAACAGTTTGAGTGCTGGTAAATAAAGTGTGTCATGTTTGTTCATTTGCCATGCCTTGAGATTTCTTTAGCTTCCCAAGCTCTTGTAACCTCTGCCATTCTTGGAATCAGAGCTTGGACCCTATGAGCTGACATGAGTAGCATTGCTGTGAGAGGAATGAGATGATGCTCACTGGAAACAGCTCCTGCATTACTGACAAACAAAGCAAAACTCTGAATAATACTAGTGAGATGCTGTAGGAGTAATGATTAACACTGTCCAGCCCTGCCTTTTCCTCCAGGCCATGTAAAGCCAGGATACATGTTTGTGATTAAAGATCCAATCCAGTTGCAAGCCTAAATAGTGTTCCTAACTTACCACAAGACCTCCTCTCTGATACTTTGTCTCCTTTAACTGATTCAGAGCATCATTCAAATGGCAAAGTTGCTAAACAAGACAAAAGTGCAAATGAACATTTGCAGTGGTTCTTTTTTTTCTCCACTCTCCTTTAACGTTATGCGCTGCTCCTCAGGCTCATGAACTTTCTGCCTCCTGAATCTTTTATTGTTCCTAGAATTGGAGTTTTCCTAAGCTTTGCTCCACACCAACTCATCCCTGTTCCTCTCAGGTTCCACGTTCTTTCAACTCTTAAATTCTTCATTGTTGAAGTATCTCTGAATTCCCGTATCTACATCCATCCCTCTAGATCACCTAGTCTCTGCTTGAGACAGGCAGGACTCAGCTTCCCTCTGAGACCAACCTCCTGGATCCAACACACATTTCTCTAAGCATTGCTTCTTTCCTCTTCCTCATCCAAAAGGGGTGACATTTCACTGCCAAAACCAAATAGATGTTTAGTGCTTGATAATATGTGAAATATTTTAAATTACATTTCTTTTAATCTTCAGTGTGATCCAGACCAGAAAGTACAGCTTGTTAGCCATGTTTTATAGATGATGAGTTGAATATTAGGAAAATCACCAAAACCAAGAGCTCTTTGCTTTCAAGTGGTGGTGCTGAGTTCAAATCTGTGCCTTAGGATACCATTCCCACCGCTTCTAGTTCACAGTTCTGCCTTCCTGTGAGTCACTCTATCCCACACATTTAGTTTAGTCTACATTTTTACATCTTGATTTCTTACTCATCATCCCCAAGGCTACATTGCTATATTATTTTTAGTTCCAAAGCAGCTTATATATTAAATCTGTTACATAATTTAACAATGTATCTATTTATTATGATTTTTTCTGTACTATAAATTCATTTCTTTGATAGTCATAATCTGTGTTTTGTTTACTGGTCTATCCCAGGCTATTGTTATCTATCCTATTATCAGAATATGAGTGACACAAAATAAAATTCAGTATTTGTATGCATGGATAAATGACACATTCTTTCCAAATTGTTCTATTATTTTCTTGATTTATAACTAGAATCTTCCTTTGTTCATTTATTTTCATTGGATTTAATTCTCCAAGTTTTGCCTGTTAGCTGATTGTTTTCTTCGAATAACAGAAATTACAAATGTATTATTCCTTTCAAAATATAACAGTAGCCTTCCTTCCATGGGAAGTTGACCAAGTTTGAGAGCAGAATAATCATAAGCTTGGATTCTAGCAGTGTCAGCTTTTAGACATGTGTTCAAACATACCAGTTAAC